ACTATGGTATTGTTTATTAAAGATTTATGTTAAAGCTAATGTAAAGGTCAAAGGATGTAAAACTGCTTATGTAAACTAAAACAATGGCCGAATACCGCTTATGCAAGCAAAGATAACCCCCAGATGTTCAGGAACTAACAGAAATGTGACAAACAACCCCATATAAGGACATATGAATAAGGGGTCAACTATGGGACAAAGGAGGAAGACTTCTTACTTCAGCCTTAACGACCACCGGGAGGCAGAGAACGACCCCCTAACAACAACTGAAGCATGCGCAGAATACCTCCACTATTTCACAAACAACGGAAGTGAAGATGTATAAAAAGGGAACTGTTTGAACTGCTCAGCACGGCAGTTGGCGGAGCGCAGACTCCCCTGCCGTCCAGCGCTGTATTTGCTCATATTCTACTTGCTATAATCAATAAATTTTAATCGAATTTTGATCCTTTGTGGTCTCAATTTATCACAATATCAATAGAAATCCTAAAGATGGTAATTACATCACTTAAACAAAATAGCTATAATAATCAAACTTATCTAGATGCATTAAAGAATTTAACAATTTTAAACAATACTTAGTAAACGTTAGTGATATAAACAATGTTATAGGGAAAATTAGAAACTTAAAAATGTCTCAGTAAGGCAAGCTAAATTCTTCTCTCATCAATGTAAACAGAAAATGTAAAAAAAAGATTTACGTGAAAAATATGTAAAAACAGTCAGTATAACTTCAGCTCCGGCTCGAGCCGCTGCCCCCCCTCACGGGGGGGGATGGTGTTGTGACTGTTCATGTGTCCGGGGGAGCCATGCCGCTGGCACCGCTTTTCTTTTGGCCCCGGGATTCAGAGAGATATGCTGTCCAACGGCTCTAGCACCCCGCCGCTCCCCGCCATGCCCTGGGGGTCCTTCAGGGGGTCGTGGTCGCTCCCTCCGTGAGAGGACTACGCCGCGATCACTGCCGCCTGGCCTCGGCCCGGCGTTTGGTGTCCACCGGGACCTGACCTCCACGCCCCCGGGGCAGGCGAGCAGCAGCGCCACTTCCCGTCGCACGCGCGGCCACTTCGGGCCGCGCCGCTGCCGGTTCGGCTGTCCTTGGAGCGCACAGAGGGCAGCTGCCCCGCGGAACCCCACCGGCCGTCGGGGCCACCGCCGGCGCGCCGCGATGCAAACGGGAAATACACGGCCGTGCCCTCACACGCGGGCACGGCACCACCCCGCTCCGCGCGGCCGCTGCAGTCGGCAGGGTCGCTCGCAGGCCCCGGGGCGGCAGCGACGGGTGCCCGTTCTGCAGTCCCGCGGAGTCGCGCGACCGGAAGAGAAGGGCACCTCCCCGCCGCGCGCTCGCAGCAACCCGAATGCGTGGGCAGAAGAGGGAAGCCCATCTTCCGTTCCTGGGGGGAACAAGATGGCGCCGCCCTTGCAGCCATGTGCTCGCCACGTGGTCGACAGCCCGCCGACTCGCATTCCGGGGGAGCCCTGCCGGCCAGCCCCCCCCGTGGCAACCCCGTTGGTTGGGTCCCGCGCCCAGCGCTTCGTGGCAACTCCACTGCCCGGGATGACCGCGGCGACACCCCACGGCCCCCCCTGCAGGCATGGTGGCTGCCCCTCCAGGCAGAGCGGCCCCGCGTCCGGGCCACCGCTCCTCGCTCAGGCGCTCCCCAGCCGGGCTCTAGCTCGCCCACCGCGCCAACCCCCGCCACTGCGCCGTTTTCGGCGCCGTGCGCCGTCCCAGGGTCCTCGCCCCGCGCTGCTCTGGGTGCGGTGCTGCTCGCAGCGACCGGACCGGCTCGTCGCTCCGGGCGGAAGTGGGCGGGGCCGCCGCGGCAGGCGTGGAGCTCGTACCGGCGCCACCGCCCATGGCCACAGCTCCACCGCCGGAGCCGTCCGCCTCGCCACCCGCAGCTCCGGGCGGTTCCACGCTGCCCCATCCTCCTCAAACATCGCGCCGTTGCTGCTGGCAGGCACAGCAACCGCTGCCCAGCCACCCGCCCGCAGCACGGGCCATGGTCCATGCACGCCTCCCGCAGAGGCAGCCCGCAAAGTGGCCATGAGAGAGGAAGAGAAGGCACCACGTCCTGCTTTCGGCATGGGCAAAATGGCGCCACCCATGCTCCAGCGTGGACCTCACGTGTCCGCAAAGTTGCAATGGCTTGGGAATTCAAAGTCCGTTCCCTTCCACCAGTCACACAATTCACGACACGCACCTTACTCCCGGGATCCACGCATCCGTGAAAATTCAGTACAAAAAGGTACAATCTTTGTCCGAGTCTCTGGTACCCCCCCCCCCGCTTTCCACATGGTAAGACCCCACAGAGGTCTTTGCCCGGGCATGTCTCTGAGGGGGGGAGACCCAAGGTCTTTCTTTGTGGACGAATTTCTCTGCGCGGGATTTAAAATGTCCATTTTCTTCTCCTCTGCTTTCTTTCCGTTTCTCCACCCCCCATTCCAAGCAGTTTCACTAAGAACTGTATATAGTATTAGTCCTAAAACAGTTATTTTCATCAGTTTTAAAAGCCCAGCTAGTTTATGTCTGTTAACTTGTTTCCAAAGTCCTTTCAGCATTAAGCTTAAGGCTCGTTCACGTGAATGAAAAGTTCCCTTTTTTTTCTCTCTTTTTTCTTTTTCTATTTTTTTTCTTTTTGCTATTTTTTCCCGTCCTCTCACCTGGACGAGGTTTTTCTTCTTTCTTCTTTGTTTCCGAGAGGTTTCTCTCCAAACGCAGGCAAATTCCTACCGAGATTTTCAGGTCTTTACTCCAAGCTCAATCGCGGTTCCTTTGCAGACGCCCATCAGAGTTTCCTTTTCTCTGGTACCTGACGTCCTGTGGCTTTTTATGGTGGGTGTTCTTCAACTTATAATAAAGTTGGTACCTAACACCTGACCATAATTCCCCCTGATTCAGGGCAAGGTTTAAGTCCCTGTTCGGGATCGCCAAATGTGGCGTTATTAATATAACAAATAAATATGTCCCATGGGGACCAAGCTGAACACCAACGTGGTGAGGTAACGAAAGGCCTTTTATTCAAAGAGTCACATCCTTAAATAGTAGTTTCAAATGGTCCAACGTCACACAGGTAACATCCTAAGCCAATCCAACGCAAGCATTTAACAGAGCATGTGCAACGGAGTCTTTAGAACTACAATTCCCAGAATACCTCAGCAGCACCTGGTGAAGCCACTTCTACAGCCTGGGAGAAGAGACCGACCCCCACCTGGCTACAACCTCCTTTCAGGTAGTTGTAGAGAGTGATGAGGTCGCCCCTGAGCCTCCTCTTCTCCAGACTAAACAACCCAGCTCCCTCAGCCTCTCCTCATAGGACTTGTGCTTGAGTCCCTTCACCAGTCTGGTTGCTCTTCTCTGGACCTGCTCCAGCACCTCAATATCCTTCCTGAACTGAGGGGCCCAGAAGTGGACACAATACTCAAGGTATGACCTCACCAGCACTGAGTACAGGGGAAGGATCACTTCCCTGCTCCTGCTGGCCACACTGTTCCTGATACAGGCCAGGATGCCATTGGCCGTCTTGGCCACCAGGACACACTGCTGGCTCATGTTCACCTTCCTGTCAATCCAAACTCCCAGGTCCCTTTCCACCTGGCTGCTCTCCAGCCACTCTGTGCCCAACCTGTAGCGCTGCAGGGGGTTGTTGTGGCCAAAGTGCAGGACCCGGCACTTGGCCTTGTTGAACCTCATCCTGTTGGAATCAAACCATCTTTTCAGCTTGTCCAGGTCCCTCTGAAGAGCCCTCCTGCCTTCTAGCAGATCAACACACCCCCCTAGCTTGGGGTCATCTGCAAATTTGCTGATGGTGGACTCAATCCCCTCATCCAGATCATCGATAAAGATATTAAACAGAACTGGACCCAACCCTGATCCCTGGGGGATGCCACTAGTGACCAGTTGCCAGCTGGATGCAGCCCCGTTCACCACCACTCTCTGAGCCCAGCCATCCAGCCAGTTCTTAACCCAGCAGAGTGCACCTGTCCAAGCCATGGACTGCCAGCTTTTCCAGGAGTATGCTACGGGAGACAGTGTCAAAGGCTTTGCTGAAGTCCAGATAGACTACATCCACAGCTTTCCCCTCATTCACCAAGGGGGGGGTCACCTGATCATAAAAGGAGATCAGGTTGGTCAGACAGGACCTGCCCTTCCTAAACCCATGCTGGGTGGGTCTGATCCCTTGTCCATCCTGTAGATGCTGTTTGACTGCACTTAGGATGATCTGCTCCATAACCTTGTCAGGCACTCAGGTCAGGTTGACAGGCCTGTAGTTTCCCGAGTCCTCCTTGCAGCCCTTTTTGTAGATTGGCTTGACATTTGCCAACTTCCAGTTATCTGGTATCTCCCCAGTGAGCCAGGGCTGTAAATAAATGATGGAGATCGGCTTGGCAAGCTCTTCTGCCAACTCCCTCATCACCCTAGGATGGATCCCATCTGGTCCCATGGACTTGTGTGGATCCAGGTGGCTCAGTAAGTCACTATTTCCTCCTGGAATACAGGGGGGCTGTTTGGTTTCCTGTCCCTGTCTACCAGCTCCAGAGGCCAGTTGTCCTGAGGGCCACCTGTCCTACTGGTGAATACTGAGGCAAATTAGAAGGGGAGCTCCAGAGGGAAGCTCGCCCAGGACGGACCGTTACCCTGCCCCTGTGGGGAACTGCGGGGGAGTATGGGAGGCTGAGCAGCCAGCACTGTCTGATGGACTTGCTGGGCCCTCTACAGCCCTTCCTCCCTCCCTCCTGATGGACTGGCTAAGACGAAAAGGCTGGGGAAGAGAAGGGCTATCTGTGTATTGGCCCCCGTGTGTTCTGGGTCTGTTCCAGGCTTGCAGCCTGTGGTGAATATTCTTGCCCTCTGTGCCCTGATTCAGCTTGAAAGGCTGTGGCAGAACAAAATAAAGGGCTACCTGGTTGTCACCCACTGTTTCCGTCCTTAATGTGAACTAACAGTGTATTAGAATGTGACTGCAGAAAAGCAGACAGACTCAAATGATGTGCCACCAGAAAAAACAGACTGAGAGTCATATGGATGAAAAACACTTCCTGCAGAATAGAAATTGAACAACAGAACATGCCTTAACTGCAAGTGAGATACACTAAGACAAGAGACCTTATCGTCTGACACACCAAAACAAAAGTTTTGGACTGTAACAAGAATTTCTGAGTCAGGAGTAAGTAAACAAGAAAGACCAATTTGTGGAAAAGCTTCTGTCACAGTTAAGAACTGTTGTAATATCAGCCTGTGGCTTCCAAAGGTGGTGTGTACACAAGGATCAGACTCCAATTTGAATAATACTGTCAAAACACCAGATAGTGCAATGACTTGTATTTTGATTTTGTTATCTTCTATCCTATGTTGCCTTTACGCTTCTTTTATTGTTACTCTAATTGTTAGACTGCTGCCTCTTTCTAACAGGTCTAAGTGGGACAGAGTTTTCTCCTTTTGTAGGTGTCCCATAAGGAGGTGATCCAGCAGCAGAATAGAAAACTCATATTGTTTTGCTGCATTAATTGTTTTGAATTTTGCAATGTTCATATTTGCATATATTTTGTCCCAGCAGTTTGGCAGCATTTTGCAAGCATAGTTTGGAGTATCTATGTCTCCTCTGAATACTGCAGCTTGTGAAAGGGATTCCTCCCTGGTTTTGTTTGGAAATCCACATAGGATTTTGTGTGATTGGGAGATCAAATTTATCTACCTTATTTGTCTCTAAAATACTTTGTCATTCAGTGTCATCTAGGAGTGTGTGAAGTACAGAAGAAGAGTCCTGTGTTAGAAAAGGGGGGTGAGAAGGTGGCTGCAGCACTGCAACATGAATTGGTTCTGTGGACCCTCCCATGGGACCTTGAAACCTGGTTTGCATCTTGCCTGCAATCTTTGAGACAAACTGTTAACATCACTAGTGGGATAATATGTTTAGATCGCTTAAATTATTTGTTTAGATTGTTTCCTAGCTTTATTGTAATACAGCTGTTTTGTTAGTGTTCATATATACATATAGGCACATATACATGTAGATGCTTTTATACATAAAGGCAAGAGACACCTGCGCTGCCACTCCATGAGGCAAAGATGATTGACTGCAGTCTGGGGCAGACTGTGGCAGGATGGCTTGTCCCTGATAAGGCCTGGAATCTGTCCAGAGAATACAAGCTCTCTACGATGAGCTACTGGCAGTGCCAGGATGCTGTTTGCTGTAGCATCAAACTCCGGATGCAGCCTGCTTTTGGTAAGCTCCTAACTGGCCTATAGATTTGAGAGGCTGACTAGCCTCTTTATACTATAAAAACTCAGTTCCTCTCACACAGTCAAGATGCAGGAATTCCAAGATTTGGGATTCCTTTGAAATTGTCATCGGACAGAGAGTCACACTTCATGGACTCACAAAGCACAAATAAACAGGGTTTCCCTCATCATTCTCTGCAATTGAAAGGAGAGAGGACATCACTTGTGCTCCTGATCCCTTAACCAGTCTTCCTAAGGCCCCAAAGTCTCTCTTGATTGCCCTTGGACTTCTTATTGCAACTTCATCGCTGCCTACCTGAAAAATCAGTAATGAATAATAATCTGAGGGCCATAACAGGGTAGAGGAAGCTTTCTCTTCACATCTTTAACCCAGGCCCGAGGGAGGCAGCAGACTTCCCTAAGAAATGGGTTTGCTGCATATTGGGCCTTCTGTTCCTCTCAGGAGAGAATCTCCTATGACAATGACCTGTTTGTTTTCTTTATGGAAGCGCTTTTGACACAGGGCATAGGCCAGATGAACTGGACAGATTTTCATTATATTTTGTTTACTGAAAGTTATATGTTAATTGTAGAGTGTAAAATGTCTTAAAAATGTAATTCACAGAGGTGAAGGGAGGAATTGTCGTGGGTTTGCCAACCAGCCCCTCGGGGCTGAAAATAGTTTTTCCAGGTGGATTTCGGGAGCAAAGACAATCAAAAGTTTTAGTAATGCCTCTACCAATTATATATTTAAGAAAATGGAAAAAAAGCCTGGGGGCAGAAGAGATAAGAGCCAGGAGGTAGAAGAAAAATGGGAGAGCCAGCATGGCAGCTGGCCCTGCTGGGCCCGGGCATGTGCCCCCCACCCAGGCCAAGTCTGGCCTGGGCGAGGGGGGACCAGGCCCCCTTCTCTCCTGTAACAGAGTAGAGAAAAAACTCCAGAGAAAAACTGCCTGGATGAGACATGCTGCAGAAGGAATTCCAGGCCGAGAGATAGAGCAGCCTCCAAGGTCAAAGCTGGCAGCCAGAGGAGAGAGAAGAGAAGCCTGAGGGGGGGAAGGGGGGCTCCTTTTCTC